TAAAGGAGCAGAGTTTCAGTCACCCAAATTCGAGCGCCGGCGCCGCCGCATCTGTTTTTTGAGATAGCAAACCGCTCATGTCAAGCGGTAATTTGGTTAGTGACGAAAAGTACAGGGCTATTCAATCGGACATGACCATTACGGTATTTACATGAGAGTAAAAAATGCATGGCCGGTCATTAAGCTTTGTTGTGACTGTCATATTTAGACCTCTAACTTCCCAATTTGGTCTGACTATTTCTTTTTTTTGGCGAAATAGACCACATTGCTATATTATTGATAATTCAAAAGCAGAATAAAGAACCCTAAAAGTAATAAAATTATTACTAGGTCCTCGGACCACACAACACATACTACAACCACTGACGCGAGATGAAGGCGTGCCGTCGCCGCCACTGCTCCTCTGCCGGAGAAAGCGCCCTCGTCAAAACGACCATGGCACCGGGAAATCTTTGATCTTAGGCCACGAAGGACTAGCATGCGGGATCAATAGACCACACCACCGAATCTTCAGCAAAGAACAAGAAGTCCATCCCTAGCAACACAACAAGACCCAACCTCTCCACCGTTGATGGGGATCTCGCCGGCGTGTTGATGAAGAGGAAGGAGAGATCCCGCCGGCGAGAGGAGCCAACAACTCGTGGATCCACGAGAACCAAAATTGCCCTTTAGTCTGCCCCCTGCCACCGAGAGACCAGGACGCCGAGCAACTGTCCGATCCGTAGATCGGCGGGGAGGAGACACCGCTCGCATACCAGCACCACCAGCACCGGCAAGGGAAAGGGAAGGCGCTGGATTTGTTTCTCCATATAGGATCAACCAAATAAAAAAATCTTCTTCCCTGTCGTAAATATTAGCATGTTTTTTCCTATAGATTTCATCAAATATAGGGAAGTTTGACTTGGCACAAACTTTGAAATTTATTTAATTTAGAATGAGGGGAGCAAACTATATTGTTTATCACCTATATGAAAGCACGAATATAGTCAAGCTTTTCGACGATGGTCACAACTGCTAATTCTTACGAGCATTGTCTTATGGGATCTTCTCGCAAAAAAAATTATCTTGTTGGATCTAATATGCAAAAAC